TCGGGGGAGGACGTGGCCTTCTCTGATGGGCGGAGCGGCTGGCGGGACTCGCCATTAAAGGGCCAGCGAGGGAAAACGGGGGCCGTGCCGGGCCGTATCGTGACATGTCGCGCCACGCGATGTCGCGCGGCGCTGTGTAGCGACGTGACACGCCATGTCGTGCAGTGACCTGTCGTCACATGTCGCGCCGTTCCCGGCTGTGCTCAGTGACCCTGCCCTGCCCCATCGCACACGGGAGCCAGGTCTGGGAGCTGCTGCAGCTCTCCCGGTCCTGGGGGCTCCTTTGACATCCCCCTTTTTCCTGCTTCTCCTCTAAGGACCAAGTGACAATAAACGCAACGCGGCGGCACCTGGCACGTGCCCGCAGGGTCCCGTGTCCCGTGGCAGAGCGGGGCCGGCGCCGCGGGCGCTGCTTCCCCCTGGGCTCCCGGTGGAGCCGCGGCCAGGGCCGGGCATCCCCCTGCACAGGGCGCTGGGACGGGGGCTCCGTGTGGGAGGCGGCTCCGGAGCCGCCTGTGCGGGAGCCGGGCCCCGCTGCATCAGTGCCCGCGGCCGCCCGTGCTGGAGCGGGACGGGTGGGAAACTGCAGGGGAACGAGTTTCCACTGGGACACGCGCTCTTGCTGAAACATCCCCTTGTTTTACCAAGGCGAGGGGAAAAAACAAGGAGAAACGTTGCGCGACGGGGTCTTGCTGCGATGCCTCGTCCCAGAGGGGCAAAGGCCAAAGAGGCTGCATCACCTCGCAGCACAGCGACGAGCCGGTGCCCTTCAGCCACCAGAGCCAACACTGCATCCCGTGTCACCCGTCCTGGGGAGCTGGGGAGAGATTCCAGGAAGGTTTCATCCAGCACGGGAAAGAAGCCAAGTGAGCACGGGCTGCAAACTCACGGGATGTGGGATTCCTGTTCTCGGCTCACCGACCGGACGAGTCCCCTGCCCGGCACGGACGCAGATCCATGTCCGCAGATGGCCCCCGCGGGCCGCCCGGCCGCGGGGGGAGCCGTCGAGCCGCGGCCAGGCTCTTCCGCCGGCGACAGATTGAAACGGGAACCTTTTTATGAGATGAGAGAGAAAAAGCCAAAGGCCGCTCGTGCAATTAAGTGCCTTAAATGTGGATTTTATTTCGATGTAATGGGATGGTTATTGCTTATAAAAGAAGTGCCAGATGGTTGTTAAAACCGCATTTACTGAGTTCTAATAACAGTGTGTTTGACCTGCATCTCATCGAGCTGCTCTCCCTCGTTACAAAGCAGCTCGTGAGCCCCTGCCCCAGACACGGCCGCTGGCCGGTCCCGGCAGCACGTCCGTCCTGGCGCTGTGTCCGTCCTGGGCATCGAACCCTGGGTGAGGGTTTCCCCTGGTTTTACTGGGTGCGTGTGCGTTTTACAGGATGGTGGTGACACACAGAGGTGTTTTCTGTCGCCAGCCCGTGTTGCTCATCCAGCGGCTATGGAGAACAGGGAATTGCAGGAGGCAATTTGTGGAGTGACAGGGAATTGCAGGAGGCAATTGCAGGAGTGACAGCAGGTCTGGGAAGCCACTGCTGGCTCTGCCAGCGATGCCAGCCCACTGTGTGCTGATCCACAGGACTTGGTGGCTCCTTCATCCGCAGCCCTGGAGAGGGAAGTGCCAGCTCCATGCCGGATTGTGCCCCATGCCTTTGAGGGGGAGCCTGGTCTGGGGAAGCAGCCCCAGGGCGGCAGGAGCTGCTGCCGCTTCCCTCCCGTGCGGAGGGGCCGTCACTCCTTCTTTGGTAAAGACTCCAACGTTCCCTTTTTAGGATCAATAAAATCAGTAATGTGAGCCGGCTCCCCCAGCCCGCTCCCCTCCCGGCATTGCGGCGCTCCGGGCGCGCTCCGAGCCTGCAGTGGAGTCGGCCGCCGCCGCGGCGCTCGCCGGGGCGTTGCTTGCAGGCCTGAAGCGCATTCTCAGGCTGCAAATGGCTTTTCAAGACACCCCTTTTCCCAGGGCGCTATCGCCTCTGGACCTGGCGGCCTCCAGCTTCGCTGGCGCCCGCGGCACCGCACGGGTCCGGCCGGGCCGAGCGGATGGAGCGCAGGAGCCGGGCAGAGCCGCGAGGCTCCTTTTGCGCCAGCTCCGCGCGGTGCTCGTCCTCCTTCTGCAGGCTGAGCACCTCCGCCACCGCATTACCGCGCTGGCCGGGGTCTGCTTTCCTTATTATTACTCCCGGAAAGCTCTCCCTGATGAATCCCAGCTGGGAGGCATTTTTGTGTCTTATTAAATTGTTTATATGTATTTTTTGCAGCGCAGCTTGTCCTCTCCTCCCCTCTCCATGCGGCCCTGCGCCCCCTCGCCTCTCCCCGCGGCAGGGGATGGAGCCGGTGCGGAGCCTCCTCGGATGGCGGGTGGGAAACACCGTGGGCATCGCGCCCACGGGATGCCCAGGCGAAGGTGGGAGCCGCGAGGTGCAGGCGCCTTTTCCAGGGCCGAGGAGCCAGTTCCCCATCTGCGAGCGCTCCAGTGCTCCCGGAGAGGCTTGGGCTCCTGGCAAACCTTGTGGGAGAGCAGGTCTGGCCAAGGAGCCTTCCCCGTGGGTGTCCCCAGCTTCTCCTTTTGCATTAGAAAAATCTTTTGTGGCCAACAACTGGACATCGAAGCAAGGCTTGCTGTGCACATATTCCTAGTTCCTACCCATCTTCAAGAGGACACAGCAAGACTAGAAAATTCAGAGAGGAAGGAAACAAGGACAAGCAGCAGTGTGCAATGGTTGCAAGAGCCATGGGCCAGGATGGGGCCAGGCTGCCTTGCTCCCCAGGGCTGGGTGAGCGGATAAAATCATTTTATTGACTTTGTTGGACAATACTGAGTGTGAGGGAAGGTGGTGACGGGCAGAGGGGAGGACTTGACACTAGATTCCTGCATGCAGTAGAAATCCCTGCTCGGCTTATAATATTATCCTTCTGCTCCAGCTTTTCCCGAGTCCACAAATAACAGAAAGGGCCCCAGGCAACACTCAGAGAAACTATTAAGTATAATTAAAATAAGATAAATAAATGCAAAGAGATTGAAAAAAAATACACTCGTGTGTCTTGGTGTCTGGATCACGCATGGGCTCCCTGTTGAATGAGCAAGATGTTTTCCCACATGCTGGAGCTGGTGGGTAATGCAGCAGGAAGCAACCGAGGGGTTTTCCTGAGGGATTTTCTCCTGTCCTAAGCTGGTGCCACAGCCCCAGCAAATACACAAGGACACGCAGGTGTGAGCAGGGCAGGAGCACGTGGCTCCCCAGGGCTCTCTCTGCTTCCCTGGTCACTTCCCTCATCTCCGAGCCGATGCCGAATGAGGAGCGGGAGTCTGGGAGCAACCAGAAAGGAAAACTGGGGGGATTCGCCCTAAGCTGCTGTGGCGCTCGCTAAACCCTGTGGTTTGCAGCAGGAGAGCGATGCTTCATCGTGGCATTTTGCAGCCGGGAGCAGCTCCTTTTCCAGAGGGGCTGGAGAGGCCGGAGCAGGTCCTGTGCAGCCGGGAAGGAGCCGCTGACAGTTTTGTCAGCTGCCTCCCCTCCCTGCCCTCCCAGACTCTTGCTCTGCTCCTGCTTCAGATTTGGGGGGAGAAACGGCCTCTCGACTATTTTTGCAACTGCAAGAATCGGGTTCAGTTTCCTTTGATTGCAGGGGCTTGGTTTGCTCTTCTAGTTCATAAATATTCAAGCGCCAGATGCTTGCACAAGTGCTGCGAATCCCCCAGGACTCCCGTGCTCCAGCCTGCAGAGCCTGGCCGGGACCCGCCGCGCTCGTTAGAGCTTCCTCGCGCCCGACGCTCCCCGGGGCAGCGGGGCTGTTCATGGACGTACCTGCTCCACATGGATCACTCGGCATGGACGAGCTGCCACCTGCACCGCTAGGCATGGGCCAAGCACACAGGAGCTGCAGGCTGCTCCACACCCCCCCTCTGATGACTTATCCAGGGCTGGAGAGACATTAGCAGCGGAAAAGAAAAAAAATGAAGGAAAAAAAGGAACAAACCCCACGTTACTGAGAGTTCCCCTGTCGGCAACAAGGCCAAGGCTGGGGAGCGCAGCAGCGTGCGGTGCCTGTGCAAGGCTGGGGCCCACGGATCAGGGTCCAGGCCTGCGGGTCCCAGCACAGCAGGGTCTGAGGACGTGTGACAGGAGGCTGCCTCCAGCACGGCACCAGGAACAACCCAGCCCCACAACCCTGCACTATCCCATCCCTTCAGTCCGCAGAGGCTGCACGATTCTGCAAAGCCCGGCTTCTGTTTAGTTTTCTAGTTTCTTGCCAAAATCCCTGCAGAGCGTGTCAGCACGCTGTCATTCCAGGAATCTCATTTCAGAGAAGCTTTCTCTCTCTCTGTCTCTTTTTGCCTTTAGATACAAACCAGACAGATAGGTTTTATTGGGTGTGAGGGCAGGGCTTCCATGCATCCAGCCTCCCTCTGTTTCCACCTCAGAAACAATGCTGGAGTGGAACTCGAGGACTTTGGCCCTTGCCTTGGGATGCCTTGGATCCACTGTGCATGCAGGCCACCAAGTGCACGCTCTTCTACCCAGGAATTTGCAACCCAGGAATATCTACAACCACCAGCATGGAAATGATGGGAGAAACACAAAGATTCCATTCTGGATTGCGCTCTGCTCTCTTTGCCATTGCCCCTAGATCTGCTCAGCTGACACTGGAATCCACAGCACATTCTTCCCCGTCTTATTCCAAGTGACCGCGCAGACCCCAGGAGCCCTTTACCTGCGTGGCCTTAGGGCACCGTGCTTTTCCTTTTGGGGTGGACAGTGACACACAAGTCCTGGCCTGGATCCTCCTGCTCTGCTGGGGCACCTCTCAACCCCCTCTGCATCCCAGGGAAAG